TTCCCTCCTCCACCCCCCTCCTCATCCATACCAAAAACCCATTACCCTGAACCTCTCAAGGAGGAAGTCTCATTCACACATGACCGCATCCGCCAAGCGATTGGCGAGCTCCCTCCATTCAAGGCCCCAGGCCCAGATGGAATCCCAAACGTAGTGCTAAAGCGTTGTGTGGATGTCATAACTGATCATCTCTACCATATCTACAGAGCGGTATTCGACCTGAAGGTGTACCACGACGAATGGTTAGAATCAATAACCCTGGTACTACGCAAACCCGGAAAACCGGCCTATAATGTGGCCAAAGCATACCGCCCAATCGGTCTCCTGAACACAATCGGGAAGCTCCTCTCCCGACTGGTAGCGTCAGACCTATCCTACCTAGCGGAGAAGCATGACATGCTTCCTCCTGGCCAGTTCGGAGGCCGACCAGGCCGTAACACCACAGATGCGATGCACCTCGTAGTACAAAGGATCAAAGACGCGTGGCGATCAGGGAAAGTAGCGACGGCACTATTCCTCGATGTCCAAGGCGCCTTCACAAACGTTGTCCTGGATAGGCTAATCCATAACATGCGGCTCCGCAGAGTCCCCCAGCATTACATTGACCTGATCAAACGCATGCTAACTGGCAGGAAAACCAGACTGAAATTCGATGACCATACCTCCGAATGGATACTGATCATTAACGGAACCACTCAAGGATGCCCACTGTCCATGCTCATATATGCGTTTTACAACGCCCCGCTAATCGAGGTAGCAAAACCCACCTCAAAATCAGAACTCACTTCCGGCTTTGTAGACGACGCCATGTTTCTCGTTACGTCACCCACATTCCAAGAAAACTACAACCTCATCGCGGACATGATGAGCCGCCGTAATGGTGGCTTCAACTGGTCCACAACTCATAACTCTCCCTTCGAACTCTCCAAACTCGCTCTGATGAATTTCCCCCGATCGAAACGCGACAAATGCCCAGACTCACTCACCTTAACCCGACAGAACAACGACGGTACCACCACTCGTCACACCCTCACCGATCAGCCTTCCTACCGCTACCTAGGAGTCATCTTCGACAGCAAACTCACCTGGAAAGCGCACGCACAAAAAGTAACAGCAACAGCAGCTTGGTGGTCACTACAAGTGGCCCGACTTTCGAGGATCTCAGGTGGAATGCCACCAAAACGCATCCGCCAACTATACAATACTGTGTCCGTCCCAGCATTCACCTACGCCGCCGACGTATGGTTTACAGGAATAAGCGAGATATCCCAGAACGGTCGACGCACAGGCTCCGTTGGTTTCGCCAAGAAACTAACCCCTCCACAGAGACGAGCAGCAAAGATCATAACAGGAGCACTGACCACCACAGCTGGCGATATACTGAATATCCACGCTAACCTCCTACCAATAGACCTCTTACTAAAGAGAATCCTATTCAGGGCAGCAGTTCGTCTTGCTTCCCTCCCAGAGACTCACCCTCTTCACAGCATCGTCTCAAGAACGGCAAACCGCTGCGTAAAACGACACCGATCGCCACTACACAACCTGTTTGCATCCACCGGAGTCCGTCCGGCACTAGTGGAAAAGATCACACCGACTCGACGAAACCCAAATTACACCCCATCCTTCTCCACCCACATACCCCAGAGTAAAGCGAAAGCACTCAAAGCGATAATCGAAGCGCACAACGACTTTGATGTATCCATATACACCGACGGCTCAGGCTACGAAGGGAATATAGGTGCATCCGCAGTACTTTACATCAACCAGAGAGAAAGGACCCACCTCCAATACCACCTCGGCTCAGACAAAGAACATACGGTCTACGAAGGCGAAATAGTAGGCATGATACTAGGTATCCACCTCCTCTCGGGCCTAGGAGGCACAATTGGTCGAGCGGCCCTCCTAGGATCCGATAGCCAGGCCACACTCAAAGCCCTGAACAACCAAAGATCCCACCCGGCACAGTACCTCCTCGACATGGTCCACGACGCAGCCGAAAAACTCCACCGCGACCTAGACAGAACCTATAGAGCACAGGAACGCAAAACCGCCATCCAAGAAGGACGCAAATGGAAAGACCGGACCCGAGGGGTTATAAACCTCCAGTTCCATTGGTCTCCCGGTCATGTCGACTTCACACCCAACGAAAGAGCCGATGCACTAGCTAAAGAAGCAGCCGAAGGAAAGACCAGCCCCCAAAACGCGCTTCCGACAACCCTCAGAAACAAGAGCCTACCGGCGAGCATACCAGCAATCCGATGCAAAAATCGAGCAGACATCCAGAAAGCGTGGAAACGCCAATGGAAATCATCGCCTCGGCATCGGAACTTTAGGCGCATAGACAAGAAACTGCCTTCCAAAGGTTACATGAGACTCATAGGTTCGCTAACAAGACAGGAATCAGCACTCCTTACTCAGCTCCGGACCTCCCACATCCCCCTCAACCAACACCTATTCCGAATCCACTGCTCAGAAACACCCCTGTGTCCCCATTGTGAAGGCCTCACCGTCGAAACGGTGAAACACTACCTATTCGAATGCCCACATTACCAAAACGAACGGCATAGACACCTACGGAGGTATCTCCGACGTGAAGCTGAGTCACTTTCCCGCATTTTGTCAACAGCCGATGCTCTAAAATATCTATTCAGGTACATACGCGACACGAAACGATTTCCAAACGTATCCAAAGCACAGGACAACACATAGAGAAGACGAATATACCCTACCAGCAAATATTCTACAAGACCTAATTCCTAATCCATGGCACAAGGCCTCGTACTCTTTACTACTGACCCTCCTAGGTTCGACCGGGTACATTGTAGCCGCGATGCTCATGTCCCCTCCACCTGCATGCAGGTGCTTGCCCCCCACATCCTACCAATGAACACAACCGACGAACCCACTTAGGGAGTAACAGGGGAGGATGGTCTAAACGGTGTCGGAAACGCCGACTCTCTCATTCTCCGCGTATGCGGGGGGGGGAGGATTCCATTGCTCTCGTAGATATACTTCTTATCCGATGTACCGTGTAATTTAGGCGCTACTATCGCCTCAACACGATAATGAATTGAAAAAAAAAAAAAAAAAAAAAAAAGACTTTGGCTAGTTTAAAACTGAGGGTTTCAGTTGAGGTGCCTCCAATGACATTTTGTAGAATGTTATGTGGTGTGTTCTTTGCGGCAAGAAGAGCGGTGATGCCTACTGAGGCTTGTGAATAATTATCAATTTGATCTGATTGAGGAGGGGTTGGTATTGTAGTAGTGGTGCTAGCTTAAGAGTAGGCTGCAAGGTCCTCCATCAAGCGCTTTTGGTTTATAAGGTACAGCATAGTATTGCCATTGGCAATAGTGGAATGTGGGAGGTTCTGAGCGAGAGGCATGTTGTTTACAGAGTGCGTGAGTGAGGATGTGGTAGATATTGATAAAGTTGATGTATTTATTTATTTATTCATAAGTAGCATATAATGCAAGCAGTAGCAGCATCGGTGGCAGATACAAAAAAGTGTAGTCTAAGCAAAGCAATGTCAAGCAGCAGAAGAAGAAGAAGCTAGAAGCAATGCTGAGAGAGAATCAGATCTACAACATCAATATGTATGTGGGGCTAACACTCACCAGGGTCAATATGCAGAGTCAAAAGTCTTGCTTTCTCCTGAAAGCTGATTTCTTGAGCGATGATGAGTTTATGCTCCTTGATTTTGAGGTCAGCTTGTTTAATTTTAAGATCCCTATCCTTTTGCTTAGTATGTTTTATTTCACATGCAAGTAGTATTTGTTGTGTACGATCTATGACGAGTTGTATGGCGGGTTTTGAGATGAAAGATTTGGATGTAGCGGCAGAAGACTTTGTTTTTTGGAGGGCTTTGGCTTGAGTACTAATTATGATTGTCGATGAGCCGATGTTTTCTTAGGGTTTGTGCCACTGGTAGCTTTGATATGGTCAAGGGCCATGAGGATTTCTGGAGATATGATGTCGTCATCACATCGAGCTTGAGAAAGCCAACATTAAAATTTGCAAATTCACAGCTACAATCTCATCAAGAGTCATATTAGGATTAAAGGCTAGGAAAACTGGGTCTGATTTTAAGAGTGTAAAGGCATTGCTAGCAATGTTGAAAGTGTGCTCAATGTTTTGTACATGGTAGTGACTATATGTCTGGATTGTCTCATTGAAGCAATGATCATAATAGAAACGACAAGCTTTGTCTAAAGCTTCTCCCAAGATAATCATATCTGGGTGAGCCTTTAAAAAGTCGCCAGAAAGGGAAGAGAGAGGTAAGACATATAAATTAGTACCTCTACCTGAGCATGTATACGCTGAAGTGCATTTTTGAGTGAATCAGCAATTTGTGAGTGTCTGACTAGGGCTTCAACCGCAAATAAAGCAAAGACATGTTTTCTGGCTATAAATAATCAGTTAATATAAAGTTGTATGTATTGCAGACTTACTTGAGTTGAGCTTCAATCTCCGGATGTCTCTCCTAACCTAAGTGAGACTGCATTGAGGTTGGAGGTATTTTGTAAATAATGAGCCAAAAAACAAATTTTAAAGGAATGACTCATCATTATCTGGGCAATGTCTATTTCTAACATCGATCCATACTTTGAAGAAGAAATGGTTAGTGGATTTGTAACTAGAGATGAGGGACTTGAAAAAAACGTACAGTGTTGCTAGTATCTCTATGTATAGCATATGCACCAGCACGAGGAAGACCAGCACATTTGGCAAGCCTTGCAACGGTATCTGATACTGAGTCTGTGGTTGAAGGTCTTGGTGGATTGATAAAGTCGTTTCCTCCAAGTTGGATAACAAGTAGACTAGAGTGGAGTTATGTCAAAATATGTATTTAGTAAGGGTAAACTTACAGTGGTTCCTCTTTATAATCTGGGTCGATTGTCTGTCTTGTTCACCACCACCCCCTCTATTGCCTTCCCCACCCCCTCGCTCTTCCCAAGTCTTCCGCTTCATCCATAGCACTGAAAAGGCAGCAAAAACAAGGGCCTCACTGGGAGTTGAACCCAGGACCTCCTCGAAGCTTGGAAAGACCCAAACGAGGAATCATGCTACTAGACCATAAGGCCGCATAAACATATAGAAAGAAGAAGAAACCTCTGTTTTTAAATGGCTCAATACTTTATGGTAGCTCAAAAGAGGCTCTAGGAGCCCTATGAACGAAAAAACGCAGTCTAGCGAAAAACTGGGGAAGAGTTGCACTTGAGTTGCACTTTGTCGCGCCCGCTGTCGAGATTCAGAGCTTTGAGTCCAGGATGTCACACAAGTCACGCATCAAAACATCGCTCACTTGAAGATTGAGGGTCAGTAAGTACAAGCCACATATTAGTACGGTGTTTATAT